GAAAGACTAATTGAATAATTCGTTCTCTACTGTTCAGCAACAATTTGTAGGCTATTTAAAACCATTTTAAACAAAAATATTTAACTGCACCAACATTGCGATAACAAGTCAATTTAAATTCAACACCTGAAGATAGCGTTGTGCATGAAACTCTGAGTCGTGCTATCGATGAGGGATAATACATACATACATATATATATATATATATATATATATATATATATATATATATATATATATATATATATATATATATATATATATGATAAACACCATGATATAAATACCGATTTCCGCTAAACCCATTCTGGTAGAAACCGCGGTAACATATCGGTCGGTGTTTTTTGTTTTTAATTGCCCTACATTTGCGATTTAAAAATTGTATTGAGCACTCTCTTTATTTGGGCGTCCACTTTTGGCAAATATTACTTTTGCAATATATTGAATTTATAAATTATATATATATATATATATATATATATATATATATATATATATATATATTGTTATTATTATTATTTTAAAGTCCGACAATAAATTAATTTAATTAATTTAATAAATCGTCGAACTTTGTCCAATTCTTAATGTATGACGTCATTTGTTTACATTTGATACGCCATGAGCAGTTATGAATGTACGAGAGGCACGTCAGCGTAAATGACGGTTCCGTATAGGATGCAGGTTCGAATCCAGTCAAAGGACGATTATTTTCTATGAAAATTTCTCGGACATTCAGGCCGGTAAATGTTATTTAATACTGTTTATTATAAGCAGAGCATTTACTTAAATACTTGTATCTATAAAAAGAATGTTAAACATAAAAATATCTTTAATAAATTGTCGGACTTTGTCCAATTCTTAATATATATATATATATATATATAATCATTTATTCGAAAATTATAACATAAAAATATTATAAAATCAGTACAAAAATAGTCATTTTGTTTCAACACTTCTGGTGTTTTATCAAGTGATGGTGTTGAATGTAAAACCCTTTATTATACATTCAACACCATCACTTGATAAGACACCAGATGTGTTGAAACAAAATGGCTATCTTTGTAAATAAATAAATATTATAAATGATTATATTTGCTCTGCTCTGTATTAAACTCTCTTTTAAGTATAGTATATGTTGGTTATTGGAATTTATTCCATATACACCAATACTTGGATATATATATATATATATATATATATATGTATATAAATAAAAAGTTTACTGAATCAGTGAAATTAAGTAACCATTTCTGCTGTCATAGTCATATACAAAAAAAAAAAATGTAACCTCATATACATACTTAAACTTAATGTTAAAATAATCCTACATAATATAATGGATTCTAATACATTTAACTGTTCTTAAAAAGAATATAGTAAAATAAAAATTAAAAGGAAAATATTTCAAATCGTAGTTCAATAAAAAGTATTAAAAAAAAAAAAAATCTTTAATTTTAAAAGATGACGTTGAAAATTTTTTACCGTTAACAATTTTTTTTTTTTTTAAATTCAGACGACATCCATTCAACCGACGTCAGGTTTCAGTGTAAAAATACAACCTCACCCCTTGCAAAATGTAGCTAATAACTGATACAATGATACTGTCATAAGGAAAATCTAGACACCCCGTGTTCAATTTGAGTAGAATATTCTGTAACCATGGAAACGTGATTTTAGCTGTGTATTTAAAACCGGTAAATTTTAAAAGTTACTCCAAAATTCGCTTGAAGATGAAATGGAACTAATGCTTTTAATTTATTTGCAAAAATAAAATTAGGGGTTTTAGCTTCTATTTTTGAAACATGGTTGGAACTGTGTAGCGAAAATAACCATATTTTAAATCAATTAATTTATAATATATATATATATATATATATATATATATATATATATATATATATATGTATTAGTGGTGTAAGATCTTTTTACTTCAGAAGATGAGAAGAGAAGCAACAAGAAGGAAGAGAAAAGGAACAAAAAAAAAGGTTAAAGATGAAGCAGAAACGAGAAGGCAAAAGAAACAATGTAAAAAGCGACATCAAAAATTTGAACAGAATCTTAAGTAGTATATATATTAATGGTGTCTTTCCGCCTACAAAAAAATGGCATATGTTCTCTTCACTTGTTACCAACAGTTCTCGTTTAAAAGTTAATTAAACATTTTCAAATAAAAGTGTACATTTTAGAATGTTTATTTTTAAATTTCACTTTACCGAAGTGAAAACTATGTTCAGAAAAAAAAAACCCAACTGTTCTGCCGTTATCAACTAAGGAAATTTACGCGGAAATCTGTATGCAAACATTTTGTTTCCGATGTGAAGCAAATTGTCAGATGTTTAATTAACTTTCAAATTAAACGAGAGCTTCAATTAACAGGCAGTATTTATCTGGCTATCTATGAGCACTTAATGGTTAGCAAGATTATCTTGCTAGGTCAATTGTTAGTGACTTCGAATGTCACTTTCTATAGCACTGTGCCACACCTAAGCTATGCTTGGAAAATTATTATCTATCACAGTATTTCTAACAATATCTCAGTCTATTCTTATCCATCTTTTAAAATTTAAATTCAACGTTAACCGCCATCTTATTTCTTCCTGGATCCTGTTCTTTTATTTGTCCTCGTCACTATAAACTTCTTATTCTCTTCTACGCCCGGTAGCCCTTGCATCTTAGTGGAATTATTGCCTTGCTTGGGGTGAAAGGATTAAAAAGAAATTTTAATCTGCTACTTCCTTTTTATATCACTCTCTGTCTATAGGGCGATCTGTTCATATCTATCTCATATTCTATTTCAACCTACCTTTCTAACTATCTCTTTGTCTATATCAATCCATTGATATCTAACAATTTACGGACATACAAGTAAGCAATACAAAGTAGTGTTTACATGTTTGTCCGTATGTCCTAAATAGTTAAAATGCCTCATCTCAGAAAAACAGAGAGTTATTTGATAGAAGTTGACTTTTGTTCAAGATCATTCTAATCCTAACGACGAATACCTATGCCATGGAGGAAGCAGAAACTCAGTCTTCTATTAATGAGATACGTAGGTAGATATGAATAGAATAGACAAAGAGATGGTTGGAAAGATAGATTGAAATAGGTATTCATCGTTAGCATTGGAATAATCTTGAACGAAAGTCAAGTAAATCTATATTTCTAAAAAGAGCTATTTTAACTATTTAGATTGAACTAAAGAGTTGTGAGTTCAATACCTGCCCACAACAGTGGTGAACTTGGAGAGTTGAGTTACTAAAGGAAAATAACTGAAAATGAGATATCCAGAAAAGGTATGGCACGTGGAACTAGAACAATCTCCCCTAGTGGACAAAATAAAGGGTCAGGTTCAAAATTTTACCAAGTATTCCAACAAGTAAGATAAAGCGTTCCACAACAGAAAGTATGGACTAGAATTGGAATGAAAGCAGTGATGGTACCTACGATGAATTCATAATAAAATAAAGGATTTTTTAAGAGGCTATTCACACTGTACAAGGCCAAAGAGCCACTCGAAGTAAAAGTTTACAGAGTAAGAGGCAAGGAGATTATGCCATCGAGGCGCTAGGAGCCACTGGAAGGGAAAGAAAGGGAAAAGGCTTTAGAAGGAACTGGTGACCCAACCCTAAACAGGAAACTAAGGGACAGCATTGTATGATGCTCGTTTGAGAATGTGTGTTCATAATGCCTGTGATTGTGAATATATATATATATATATATATATATATATATATATATATATATATTAATTTTAATAATTATTTGGATGGTTTCAGCTCTCGTTTTTGAAACATGAGAACTCTTATGTAGCAGAAGGAATCATATTTTAAACAAAAAAAATATTATTATAATAAAGCTCTACTTCTGTATGGAGCACTGTCTTCTTAAAAAAAAACAAAATACTAAGGATCTCGGATTATGCACCCAACGTGTTCTTTTCTATTTTCTGCATACCTGCGCACTTATATATATATGTGTGTGTGTGTGTGTGTGTGTGTGAGAGAGAGAGAGAGAGAAAGAAAGAAAGAAAGAAAGAAAGTGTTTGCATGAGGTGTGCGTCGGTAGTTTGGTTCTTGTAGTGTTTTTTATTTATTGCTGGCTCTCAGGTGGCGGTCAACTTTGCGGTCAGCGTTCAAGCTCGGGCAAATGCCATGCCTTCGAATGCTGATTTTAAAAGCAGACAAGCAGGCATCCCGCCTTCTTTCGAGGATAAACACAACACAATCTTCCTGCCATCATTTCTTCAGTTATCACCTGGCCTTATACCAGTCTTTGTTTCTGTTGGATTTCGCTTGGCACCCATTTTCACGCTTGGCTTACTGTTGCAATTTTGTAAATAAAGCTGTTTGTTCTATTGATTTCGACACGACAGCAGATTTCTAGTTCTCCTTCCTTTTGATGCATTTCTCAAACCGCAAACTGCAACACAATCTCCTTGTGCAAACCAAAGTCTTGAAAACGACTGAATGCTTAAGTACCTTCTATCGCAGAACTTAGCAGAACTCTCAGACAAAGAAACCAGGTGTGCCATTACCAGTACTATCCGAAGAGCTAGTAAGTTGTAACCCCCTGATTAGGAAGTCAAGTGGCTAAACATAAAATCCGTTTCAGCTTTCACCTTTAACCACTTGTAATTTTACATATGATGTATGCTTTGTCATTGTATTTACGATTTCATTGTAGTTTTTACTTTAATTTTTTATTTATTTATATATTACTTAACATGTATGTTTTCTTGTAAGTGGGCGGCGTATGTCGCTACCGTTCAGAATGTCTCGAGGATAAAGAGAAAATGCTTCAAACTATTAACACTATCTATAATTCTTTATGTATTAAGCAAATATTGTCTACAGACAAGTGCAATTTTGACGCTGTCGCCGTTCTTTATGCTATAGAATTTATCATTTGAACGGTGATGGCTAATAGCATTAAGAACAGCAAATGCATTGCTTGAGAAAAACAGCAAAAGATTCGTACTGATATAATTAGTTAGGGCGTTATAATCTCAAAGAAAGAAAGAAATAATATGTAAAAAGAAAGAAAGGATGATATGTTAGTAGAAAGAAAGAAAGAAAGAAAGAAAGAAAGAAAGAAGGGGGAAAGATGTGTAAAAAGAAAGAAAGAAGTATAGGTTGGCCTGAAGAAAGAAAGAAAGAAAGAAAGAAAGAAAGAAAGAAAGAAAGAAAGAAAGAAAGAAAGGGATTAATGCGAGAAAAAAGAAAGAAAGAAAAATGTGTAAAAAGAAAGAAAGAAGAACATGTTGATCTAAAGAAAGAAAGAAAGAAAGAAAGAAAGAAAGAAAGAAAGAAAGAAAGAAAGAAAAAAGAAGTACATGTTGGGCTAAAGAAAGAAAGAAAGAAAGAAAAAAAAAAAGAAAGAAAGAAAGAAAAAGAAAGAAAGAAAGAACGAAGTAGATGTTGGGCTAAATAAATAAATAAAGAAAGAAAGAAAGAAAGAAAGAAGTACATGTTGGGCTAAAGAAAGAAAGAAAGAAAGAAAGAAAGAAAGAAAGAAAGAAAGAAAGAAAGAAAGAACGAAGTAGATGTTGGGCTAAATAAATAAATAAAGAAAAGAAAGAAAGAAAAGAAAGAAGTACATGTTGAATAAAGAAAGAAAGAAAGAAAGAAAAAAAGAAAGAAAGAAAGAAAGAAAGAAAGAACGAAGTAGATGTTGGGCTAAATAAAGAAAGAAAGAAAGAAAGAAAGAAGTACATGTTGGGCTAAAGAAAGAAAGAAAGAAAGAAAGAAAGAACGAAGTAGATGTTGGGCAAATAAATAAATAAATAAAGAAAGAAAGAAGTACATGTTGGGCTAAAGAAAGAAAGAAAGAAAGAAAGAAAGAAAGAAAGAAAGAAAGAAAGAAAGAAAAAGAAAGAAAGAACGAAGTAGATGTTGGGCTAAATAAAGAAAGAAAGAAAGAAAGAAAGAAAGAAAGAAAGAAAGAAAGAAAGAAAGAAAGAAAGAAGTACATGTTGGGCTAAAGAAAGAAAGAAAGAAAAGAAAGAAAGAAAGAAAGAAAGAAAGAAAGAAAGAAAGAAAGAACGAAGTAGATGTTGGGCTAAAGAAAGAAAAGAAAGAAAGAAAGAAAGAAAGAAAGAAAGAAAGAAAGAAAGAAAGAAAGAAAGAAGTACATGTTGGGCTAAAGAAAGAAAGAAAGAAAGAAAGAAAGAAAGAAAGAAAGAAAGAAAGAAAGAATTGGCCAGTAAAAAGGAAGAAAGAAAGCAGTAGACGTTGATCTGAAGAAAGAAAGAAAGAAAGAAAGAAAGAAAGAAAGAAAGAAAGAAAGAAAGAAATGTATCAAGATAAAATTAAAGAGAAAAAAATTAGCAACTGCATGGGAGAAAATTACATAAAATTGTAGAAGAATTCAAGAAACACGAAATATGCGATTGATGGACAAGAACAAACTTGAAGAAAGAAATATAAAAAAAAAGAAGAAAATGATAGAATTTGAGATGCGAAAAAAATTCTAAAGCAAACATTAAGAATGTGACATGTAAGTATTCTTTTCCCTTTTCTCATCAAGTCTTCTGACAGCCGGAGATTCTGTTGTCTTTCCTTCTCGCCACCCTCACTCTTGCTTCCTTGCGTGTTTGTTACGTAAGAAAGAGAATGCTGAAACATAGTCGTCCAGTTTTCAATTATCTGCTTAAAGAAGCGGCACGGAAGAATCATCGCAAGAATTACCTCCTCCCCCACAACTACTAAGACGCACTCTATACACTCTTACACGCACCTCAACTATAAAAGCGATCGCTGTATTGAGAAAATCGAAAGAGAATACTAAAATTTACCAAGACAAAGGAAATATCTTACTCGACAGACGCAGAAATAGAAAATAAAATATTTAAATTTACATCCTCTTTATTTTTGTTTGAACTTATTATCAGTAATAATAATACAGTTGACTACGACCAAATGGTCCTAAGCAAGAGAGGTTAACAAAGTACCAAGCTACATAATGGGTACCTCAAAACCAACCAGACGTAGCTATTTACTGATGTAATGGAATAACATGTCACCCCCATGAGTGACTACACTATAGGTAGTAACTTCCTATAAGTATCTGTAAGTCAACGGACTTCAGGGTCCAGCTAGAATCTTTTCCAGCTGTTCTGGTCAAACTCTCTGCCTCCGGACAGAGGTGATCCCCAGACGAGATTATGTCGAAGGCCAGAGTCTCGTTCTCGGAGGTTGACCGACCCTGAACCCGTTTATTCAAAGGGAATATTTTTGGCCAAGCCTATGGTCTCGGAGAACCCACGATAAACTCGGCCTTGTGCCACATACGGCCCTCGGGGGGGGGGGGCTGTTAAATATACCTGCTGGAATCTTTTCAGCTGTAATGGTCGAACTCTCTGCCCCCGGGCAGAGGGGATCTCCCAGACGAGGCTATGTCGAAGGGCAGTCTCTAGTCTCGTTTTATACGGGGAATTTTTTGGCTGAGGCTACAGACTCGGAAACCCCATATTAAATTCGACCCTGTGCCACATCTGATCGCGTGGGACGGTTAATAAATACACTAGCTGGGATCTGTTACTCAGCTCTTAGCTGTTGTCGAACTCTCTATCTTCTGTCGAAGTGCAGAATCTCGTCCGGGAAAGTAGATAGACCCGAACCCGTTTATGCGGTGTTACGGGGAATTTTTTGTCCGAGCCTACGGGCTCAAATTGCCCCACATTAAATTCGGCCTTGTGCCACATCCTGCCCCGTGGGGAGGTTGATAAATATTACTATCGCTACATAAGAGTTTTCATGTTTCAAAAGCAGAAGCTAAAGACTTCAATTTAATTGTAGAAATTAAATTAAAATAAAGTTTCATCTTCAAGCAAAAACTCTTATGGAGCGATGGAATCATATTTTTTTTCAAAAAAATAACCATAATTTAGTCTCTACTTATGTATTGAGCACTGTCTTTGAAAAATAAAACAAAATTACTAAAGAACTTCGGATTATTAACCTCACGGTTCTTTCCTATTTTTCTATATATTTGCACACACACACACACACATACATACACACACACACACACACATATGTGTGTAGGGGTGGACTCTCCCGTTGTATTCGACGTCTGAGGGTCAAGCAGCTCAGTTCCTATAAACTGGCAGCCCTGACACCAGCACATATGATTTGATTATAGTGGTGAAGGTTTCGTGCAGAACCAACCACACTTTTTGAAGGGCCGAATACAGAGAGCTGGTGCACTACGTGCCACAAGGTCCCCAAACGACCCTCCGCAGGTTTTGAATTCTGAGTTTTCCTTTAACTAGACCAGTTGCCATCGAAGGCTATAAAACCCAATCTGTCCTGCTATTTACCCATAGAGGAGGGAGAAGATTAATACTTTTCCCAAGGTTATATATATATATATATATATATATATATATATATATATATATATATATATAACGGTCAGTCTAAAACTCAACACCTGAAGATTGCGTGCGAACGGTGAGAGATAATATGCATATTTATTAATATATACTTAATAGCTCTGTTGTATAACATCGGGCACTCCTTTATTAATACCATCACTTTATGTGCAATTCCGACATATATATACATATGTATATATATATATATATATGTGTGTGTGTCTCTGTGTGTGTGTGTGTGTGTGTGTGTGTGTGTGTGTGTGTGTGTGTGTGTGTGTGTGTGTGTGTGTGTGCAAAGATATGTAAATTCATAGGCACATATATAAATTGATGTCTTTATGAGATAATTCAGCCATGCATTTCATAGGTTATTCTCCCTGCTGAAATGCATCTGGATTGCCTCGTTTTCAAAAAGAAACCTATGTCGGCCATTTTGCTTCTGGGCTTCAAGATCTATAGCGCGGAAAATCTTCTCTTTTTCCTCGCTTCACAATCTACTCACCAGGGGAAATGATCTTTGTAGCAAACAGATTGAATCATTCATCAACCGACGAACCACATACACATGGTCATTTACAAAGCAACAACGAAAAATAGATTTCGTTCGCATGCTTCAGTGATTTGAACTGCGGAATAACCCGGTGATCTGAACTTTGAATATCAATTCACAAATCAGCTGCCTGCAAAGATCAAGAAACGTTTTTTAAAAAAAAAAAACTTTTTTTTTTTTCCATAGAGAAGTATTTTATTTTTTACTATTGTTCGCCGACAGCGACTTAAGGTAGAGATTTACTGAATGGGGCTGTCGTATAAACATAAGAAGACAAGATAAGTGCGGATATGTAGAAATTATAACTTTTGGACTAAGGCTTGAAGTGGTTCCACAAAGTATCGGGAACTTCTTCCTTACTAATGGAATACGAAGAGAATGAAGATGATTCGACCCTGTGTATGTGACACGATGGGTTTGGTTTGGTTGATTTTGTTTTTAACGGCATATGAACCTCAATGGGTTATTTAATGCCGACAAGATTTGAGGATAGTTTCATATGAATAGAATATGCATTCTTTGCAAGAAATCAGTTTGCAGATCAGGTTCCATTAACGTATTTTTGTAAAGAGGTTCTTTGTCGAGTGTCAAATGTATTTCTGGTAATTTTTTTTCCAAAAATGTATTGCTGGTATTTTTAATATAAAAATCTATTTTTATACTTTCATTGTGTTTTAGCCTCAAGTTTGGGGTTTAACTATTTGCCCATAGCTGGAACACCCCCCCCCCACACCTAACAGGTGCTCCGACCCCGGATAAGGGTGGTCCTGGGAAAAACAGCAATTAAGAGGTGGTTCCATGCTCTTCAATACCTCCCGATTAGAGGCCTTGGATAATAAAGCAATCTACTACAAGATCAAGCAAATAATATGAAGTTCTCTCAGGTCTGAAAAGTGTTGATTGGGCTCTCTCGTAACCCATTTGAGTCATAGGAGCACCACAGTTTGCCGCAGTCGTTACTGTTGTAGTGTCTCAACGACATGGTAGACTGACGGAGCCCAACTCTATTGAAGCTAGTTTTGAATACAGTTTTTCTCCTAGACTGGTTGCCATCCAAGACAAGAGATTCCAACTTGTCCTGCTATTTAACCTATAGCTAGAGGGAGATGTATTTTTTTCCCCAAGGAAATTAGCGCAAAATGAAAGAAACAGAATCGACCGGAATTTGAACACTGCTCATCAATTTCACATTACGCCCCAATAACCGATACATTACCCACTCACCCATCCAGAGTTAATATTTTTCCTTTTGTACGATATACTATTCACACCCTCTGGCCGTAAGTTTGAAGCGAAATAGTTCTACATGCCCGTATATCTTCTTTTTTTTATTTGTTCTTTTTATTTTTTTGCTTTTAAAACTTCACAAATCAATCTGTTTTTGTTCATTTTTTTCAAAGAATATTTCCAAAAGAGGTGGTTTTCCTGCTGTAAGCCTCGACATTTTACTCTTTCGCTAAAAGGAGGCAAATTAGGAATTCTATTTGCCACATCAGAAATGGTAACATCAGAAATAAAATCCCCTTCCCCCATTTGTAACTGTAAAAGAAGAAAAACTGCAGTAATGCAATAATGAATATTTGAGGCTGATTGTTATGTTGCTAAGCAGCCCTTTTGGCGACAGAGGGGACGCAATTCCCGCCGCTAAGAAAACATATTTATGCGGCAAACCAGCTGTAAAAGTGAAAGAAATTAGATAAAACCTTTTTCGCTCAGGATCTGATGACTCTGAATTTGATGGCGTGATGAATTTTTAAAATGTATGGCTTTTTCCTTTTATATTTGAAAATATTTGTATTATTAATGACTGATGTATATGTCCTTTTTTATTTAAATTTCACTCCTTTGAAATATGATTTGCAACGTTGTTTTTGTTTAATAAAAGCTCTGTGCAGGAAAGTTTACTGGGAGAGACAACGGCGTAATTTTGCTGATCTTGAAGTACTATAGATAGATAGAGAGAGAGAGAGAGAGGGGGGGGAGACTAAAATAGAAATTGGACCATGAATCTGTTTTGCTATATCAACATTATGCATACTCTCTCTTTCTCTATCTCTCTTTATCTGTTTCGCCTTTCTTCTGTCAATTGCATTTTCACGCTCTTTTATATATATATATATATATATATATATATATATATATAAGTGAACATGAAGTCAACACTTAGAGGCAACAGTCTGTTTCATGCTAGATGCAATCGTCAGGCTACGATTCCATCTAGCATGAAACAGACTGACGCCTCTAAGTGTTGACATCTATGTTCACTTTTATATTTACACGCTCTATCTCTGATATTGAGCACTTTATCCCATAAATATAGCATATATATATCTTAAGACTATATTTCATCATATATATATATATATATATATATATATATATATATATATATATATATATATATATATATATACACACAAATATATGATTGGTGTGGAATAAAATTCCAATAACCAAAAAAACTATTCTTAAAATAGCGCTCAATACAGAATAGAGCAAATATTATTAATTATTAATATTATAACATAAATTTATACAAATAGTATAAAATCACCACAAAAATAGTCATTTTGTTTCAACACTTCTGCTTGTCTTCTCAAGTGATGCTGTTGAACACGTTTAAACTTTTTTACCCTTTGTCATACATTTCCCACCCCGAAATATTGTCCTTGACATATGGCAAATTATATATCGTTATCTCATATATATGTGTTCCTGCAATTCTTATACAAGACGATTACTACTCTCTTAATCTCAACTCCCATAACCCACTGACAAGAATAATCAAGATGACTTCTGATAAGTTCAATCGCATAGTTTCAATTAAGAGATGTCTTGCTCTTAGACTGTTGGCCACCTAAGGCGGAAAAGCCCAGTCTTCCTTACCATTTAACCCATAGCTGGAGTCAAAATAAAATGGATTCATACCTTTTTTGCACGAGAGGGAATATAACGTACTTGGCGTGAATTCGAACTCAGCTCAGCAATATTGCGTCTCTGTCTATTTCCGCGCCAGTATGTATGTACGTGCCGCTCTCAGCGGTGTATATGTTTATTCGGTTGGGTATGTGTGTGGGTGCGTGTGTACTACAATGTGAGTGATAAGCATTTTTTTTCCTACAATTACATTTTTGGGGAAAGATTATTTTAGCTTAACGTCATCACTGAGAAAAAAAGGCTTACTTCTAAAACTGAATTATGTCCAGATGGGAAGAAAGACAGACAGACAGTTCTGTGAACTGATCAGTTGGATTCCAATATAGATCTTTGTCAGAGTGATGCTATTCTGCATATAAGGGTGTGTTGACTTTTATTTATTTTTTTCTCGTTTATTTTCATTTGCTTTATATTTTTATTTATTTATTTATTTTATTTACTTATTTTTATTTATATATTTATTTTGGTGGGGACGCTGTAAACGTCAATAATAAAGATGCTACCCTGCTGGGCTCACACATTCTTATAGATGTTTCATGTTTACTCACTTTTCAGCAAAACTCTCCTATATTTTACCCTTTCTTCTTCTTCTTCTTCTTCTTCTTCTTCTTCTTCTTTTTACTGGCTGACTTC